CGGTTGAGAACAAAAAGCTAAACTGTGAACGTTTCTTTCGAAATTCTTGCTTTATGCCACAGTAACGAGTACCAAGATACTAAATCACGAGATTCTCTAATGACATTCCATGTTTTCCTTGATGAATAAGACCGTTGAATCTCACCATCTATCAACCACAAAGGCACATCACTTCTAACAGATAGAGTAATCGTTGTGATGAAAGTATATAATTGTAGTTGTTGTTCAGACCGCACCGGGGTAACCGCCATGTACCAGACGAAGTAAGGTCACTTACTTTCTGACAAAGAGGTATACCAAGTTGAGAAGGCCTATCCGGTCCTACGAAATGAATCAATGGTTCAAACAGAGTCCACAGATCCCACCAGAAAAATGTATCTTCTCCGTTTCCTATCTTGATTCGTAGAAAAGTAGAGGCTATCCGTCTTAGCTTTAGGAGCTTCCTAAACATCCACGAAAACCGATAATTCTTCTCATTTATACCCCATAAAGATGAGTGTGACAAATACTTACTCCTTATCCACGCCACCCATATAGATCCCGCTCTGAAATACAACATCCAAATAAGCTTCAGGCCACAAGTATATTCCAACTAGTCAAACTTCTCAACCCAAGACCACCCTCTTTCTTTGGTAGTAAAACATTAGACCATTTCACCTTTGCTCCTATAGCCGAATTAGTTGATCCATGCCAAAAAAATGCACTACACAGAGAATTGACAGGCCTTATAACCTGCTTAGGCAGCATAAATGCAGAACTCCAAAATCCTATGATTCCAGTGATAACAGAAGAAAGAAGAGTATATCTTCCAGCAAGACTTAGTTTACGATGAGACCAACTATTAATCTTCTTCCTTATCTGAACCAATAGAGGATCGCAGTCAGCTACCGAGAGTCTTCTAGAGCACAAAGGCGGACCGAGAAAGCGAATGGATAGTTGCTGAGGGACTAAGTTAAACTTAGTCTTGATTTGTAGCAGCTCCGACTCGTCAATTCCTGAACAGAACATTGAAGTTTTGGAGAGGTTAACAGCTAATCCAGAAATATGTTCAAACCGTTTTAGTACCTCA